TTTCAACCCGCTGCTCCCGTCCTGCTCTCCCATTCTGGAGACCGAAACTTGGGTGTTCCCCTCCCAGGGCAGCAGCGAATGCCCGCCGGTGTCCTCTTTGTTTAGCCTGAGAGAGTTAATTATTCCCGATAATTCTGCCGATGCCTTTCCTCGGCGCTGTCCCAGCAGCAGCCCCGTCCCGGTGGAGCGCACAAGAAGCCACCACGGAGCAAGCGCTGCCCGGAGAAACCTCAAGGGGCAGACCCGGCCAGGTGGGCTGCGGGCTGGGGAGCGAGCGCTCAGGCACCGAGGGCAGACCCGGGGGGCCGAATGCAGCAAAGCCAGCCCCGGTTCCTCGCCTCCCGCCGCCGCCAGCAGCTCAGGGGTTCTCCGTCTCCTTGCCTCCCCTGTGGCAGAGCTTAGCGCGGGTCTGGCTGCACCTCGGTCTGCTGCACCCTGCGCGGTAGCACTCCTTAGCTGGGACCTAACGGCAGCGGGTGTCCTTATGACAGGGTAAGTGTGTCAGGACCTGGCTACCTGAGTAAGGAAACGGCTTTCAAGGGCTGGAGAGAAAGTAATGTAAGGAGAGACATCACATCGGCTTAGAGTGACGAGAGTGAGGCTTTTTTTGTCCTACTTGTTTACCTGTCATGGAGCAGTCTCAGGCCTGATCCAGATGAGGGCTTGCAGAGCTACCATGTCCTGGTGGACAGCTGAGCTCTGAATTCTTCCTAACCATCCTGGTAAAGTTGTATCTGCCTATCACAGCACCGATTTCTAGGGAACTGGAGCTGTTCTGGTCTTAAAAATCTCCCAGCCGCCTCCTGATATGCACCCTTGGATGAGCAGGAGTAAAGTGACACTTCCATCAAATGTTTTGGCTGTTCATGCCCAGCCTGTGTGCCTGGATATAGCTTCCCTTTCCAGTCAAGTGCTCGGAGCTTCCCAGCCCACACAGCAAGTTACTGATGGTAACTTTGCAGCAGAACTGGTACTCACTTGTGCCCTTACTGTCCAGTTCCTGTGGGGGCGAGGCAAGGCAGAGCTCTGTGGGGAGAAACAGGTACTGTCCAATGCTGATAAGTGGCCACTTTGTAGGAGATTTTTGTGAGCACTTTGTCTCTAGACAGAATTTGCCAGTGAAAGTGAATATTCAAAGCCAGTAAACTCAGCTTTGAGTTAGAAAACACTCGAACTATTTATCATTTTAAAAAACCCAAACCCAGGAACCCTTTGAACCCTTCTAGTCAAGACCAAAGGAGATGTTCTCTTTTTATCTAAGGAAATAGACCTGAAAGAACGACTTTGAGATGTCTGAGTAGAATCTTGCTCTGTAATTTTTGACAATACAGATAAAGGTCTCAAAAGCTTTATGTGCCATCAGTTTCATGAAAACTGGTGTTTTCATGTGACAGTGCTATTAGACTGTACTAATCTCTCCTACAGAGAGAATGTGTAGAGCTTGTTTTCAGTGTTTATTAGACATCAGAGAACCCACAGAGCATTAACTCCTGCAGCAAAAAGCTGTAGAACAATTGCCATAATAAGCTCTACTGTGCATGGAACAATTTGCTTCAAGTTTTGAAATGAGACAAGGAAGAGGTTTGCCAGTGTGATGGGTATGTGGAGTAAGACCAGAAATGTCCCCTGCCCCAATTCTGGACCCTTGCCCCTCCTGCTTTGGGATGATAGGGGTTCGTGTGTTGGGAAATGCCACAAGTGCTACTTTTCCGTGTTTTTCAGCCTTGCTGAGAGCAGAGTGAGCCAGAGCCAGGCTCTCAGAGCCAGAGTGCTGGAGGGGCAGTGGCAGGAGAGGTTGGCTCCCTGTTAGTGATGCTGAGAGCTGACCCGGTCGGTGTCTGTGCTGCCGCTCCGTGGTGTTCAGTGCCTGTTGCTGATCACCAGTCAAGGGGCACAGAAATGCCAAAGGGATTCTTGTGCTGGGACGGCAGTTGTCATTCCACCTTGCAATGAGGTGGTGGAAGAACAGTGAATCCTGGGGCTTTCCCTCTTCCTTGTTGTGGTGAATGCCCTTTCTTGGACAGGAAAATAGTTTCCCCTCTCCCACTGTCATAGAGGACACAACTGCATTCTCAGATCATAGATCTGGACAGTTCATCTCTTGTGTGTTGTTTAGGGTAAAACTGGCTTAAACTTGATTGGTACACGCTTGCAGAGACACTTCCACTGCAGCTGTGCTGAGCATTTTTGTATGACTACATTCAATTTCAGCCCCTCTTTCCAACACAGACTCACTGATGTGTAGCTGTCAGGCACAGATTTGCAGTGAGAAATACTAGCACCTTTCTCCCTCCCTTCCACATTAGCACTAGTACATGTTCCTGAGGCTCACCCTGCAGCCCTCCTCCCTTCTCTCCCTGAAGACGGGAGCTTCTCCTCCCATTTATTGACTCATAGACAATGTCACTGTTTGGGCTGCCATAAAACTGGCAGAAAAACTTCCAATGTTGTTAACTTGTAGTCCAGATACTGATGTGAATCTGGAGGAACTCTGCTCCCACTGAAGAATTCCTTTCTGTTCGCCCCTCTGTATGTGGGATTTGATCCTGCCTCATCTCTTGGTAGAGGCACTTGGAAAAAAAATGGGTTTCCCTCCCCAGGACAAGGTAATTTCACGCTGAAATTTCTGTGGTTATATGTGCTAGAGACAGGCATTGGTAAAGGTGCAATATATGCAGATCAGCTGCACTTTGAAAAGCTGTCTCTTTCCTAGAAAGGAAACTTCCTAGACAGCAGTTTAGGGATTCAGAGCCTTTCCCTGCTCTTTAGCTCCCCATCTGCCTTTAAGGGAATCGGGTTTGGATGCTGCTAGTGCTCCTGTGTGGCTAAATAAACAGGGCAGCAGATTGCCATGTGAGATCTGAAGCCCTGTCAGATATAGATCTGGCTATCTACAGCATGAGCCAGACCTCATGAGTTAGGTGTATGAAATGAATTCCTCCCAGAAGCTGAAAGCTGTTCCACTGGGAGATTGTTTGAAACCTTCGGCAGCTCCTTCTAGACTTCCAGGCAAAGCTTCTGTGTTTGTATTTTAGTGTGCATGGAGCTTTGAAGCTTATACACAGACTGAGCACCCTATTTATATGCACTTGGTTGCCAGTAATTAAGTTCTCCTATGGAGAGGTCAGGAAGCAGGACTGCATCAGAGGCTGTGGTAAGCACCCGCTTGCTTTTCTCAGTTCTGTATGCACATACATAGCTGAGTTTTAGCTTTGGGGGCTGAACTTAATTATATCCCTAGTGATGCCAGTGAAAAAATTCTCACCCAGTTTGGTGGTTCCTGATTAGTATATGGAGAGCAGACTGCCTCATCACTGTCTCCTTGGTTGCCGTTACTTTGCCACAGGTTGGGAGTTCAAAAAGACTCCAAATGTCTCCTGCGAAGCTACTGTGATCTCTGAGATCGCACCTCCTTGTGCGAATATCTCGGCTGGGAGTAAAGGCTGTAGTGGGAAAAGGTCAGCTGCTGGGCCCTGGGAAAGCCTGAAAGACTCAAGGCTTTTGAGTAGCCAGTAAGTCCCCCGTGAAAAGCTTGCACCTGAGCCGAGCTGTTTTGATCTGAACTCTTTGGAATTCGTTGCTTTCTTCTGGCTACCTTCTAATTTGGCCTCGGGTCAAAATCATTTGACAAGAACAACACCGAGGACAAGTGCCCCCTCTTTTGGCCTTTATCTTGTCTAATTACCAGGAGCATCCCTGCACAATGGAGCGGCTCTTTATTCTAATCTCTTCTTTACTTATCTCCATTTTCTCTCCTTCTTCTTTTGTCTTCCAAAATCCCACGCACCGTTATTGAAAGGCTGGGTACCGGGCTAAAAGGATTGTACTGTGAGCTGTGGGCAAATGCTCTCCCAAGGCTACAACTTTTCTATTCCTTTTTTTTTTCACCTGCATGTTTAGGGAGCGTTTCTGTCAGCCCTGGTCTGTGTATCCGCGCTGCTGACCTGGAGCAAGAGGGAGTGACGTGTCCTTTTTCTCCCTTTGTCTCGCAGAGAAACCGGTCAGCCTGACTTACCGATGCCCCTGTCGATTCTACGAGAGCAACGTGGCAAGAGCCAACATTAAGCACCTCAAAATCCTCTCCACACCCAACTGCTCACTTCAGATTGTGTAAGTCTCTTATTCTTTCCAGCTTTGAGATTTGGGTGCAAATCTCAAGGGTCAAAAAGAAGACCCACAGGGTTGGTTCCTGCTTTGGTGGCTGGAGTTCAGTCTGTCTCATGTCATGATTTCTAATTCAGCTCTTCACCCCACGTGTCAGATATAGCTGGACCCTGCCTTACCCTGTGAAAAGGAGCCCAGCTAGCTGTTTCCCAGTTCTGTTCTACATCTGTGATCTCGCTGTGACTATGTGATCCCATGTCCTGTTCCCCCCTGTGGGTATGTGAGCAGTAATGTCAGGCAGGCTGTTCGTTGCCTTGGATGTGAAGCTTCACACCTTAGGGAAAAGACTTTACAGTGGTCTGAGTCTTCTAATGCTCCACTTCTCCATAGAGAGGAACTAAACAAGCAAAAGGAATTAGGAATTCCTGGACTTCCTGCAGCCTCCATAGGGGGAACAGACCCTAAGCATGTGCTGGTCTATCAAGGGACACACTCACCAGGCAGTGACTGACCCTGGTAAATTGCACATCACAGCAGGACAGAGAGGATGGGTTCCCCATGGAAAATAACATTCTTTTTAAATTTTATTATTTTTTTTTTCACTGAAAAAAAACCCTGATTTTCAGGAATTATAGGATTGTAGATTTTTGTTTGTGTGTCTTTAGGAAGGTCTTTTGGGTTTATCTTTTCATGGGTGACCCCTTTCCTCCTCTCCCAAAACTGAAAATCTTCAGAAATAAAAAAAAATAGTGTTCATCTTCTCATTGCAAGGGATTCTTACCTCTACCAGCTTCTGTAGACCTCTATAGGAGGATCTCAGTGACTAGATTTGGTTTCTGTGCTCCTATCACTAGTTCTGTGTTATGGAGCTCTTGCAGTTGCAACTCAAATGCTGTGGAAAGCCATTCTTTGTCATTCAAAACACCTCTGCACTCAGCAAACTGTTGTGGTTTCATGAGATTTCTCAGGAATGTGCAGACACACTGAAGGGTTTCCAAGTCGGGTAGATAATACACATTTTCTCGTGTGTGCTTCTGCTTTAGAATTTCATGGAGGACAGTGATAAAAATGTAAGCCTCAGCTGAGAAATAATATCCTTTTACAGAAATGGCAAAACCAGCTGTGACTAACTCTGCTCTCTACCTATAAACAATTCTGGAGGCAAGCATCCAAAATGCAATAGTGTATGTATTTGTGCTCTGGGAATGTCAGTGGGTGTCATAAGGGTCCCAGTGCTAAGGCTTTGTAGAGGATTTGGAATTTTCTGGAGTAGTTTCAAGAAAACGTCAGGCATTTAAGGCAGGATAGAGTATACAGTTATCTCTTAATTGACATGGGAACATAGTCATTAGAGATAGGTAAGAGCATGAAATGCAGAACCACAAGCCTAAGAACAGGCTTTTGTCTTTGGTTCTGTTGGAAATCATCTGTCCAAATCCAAAAATCTCCTCTGTCAATGTCCACTTCTATAAAGTGCACCTTAAATTCCCTGCTTTTCAGTACAGGGAAATAGGCATTTTTAGGATGCAATTTATTGCATCCTAAAGCAGACACCTAAACCAGTTTAGATTAACACTCCATTGCCTAGGTCTCTGCCATGACTGTACAAGGAGCAGGAAATAACAAAGAAAAACAAGAAATAGAAGTCTAGGAAAATGGATGTCTTATTATTAGGTGAGAAGAATTGTATTGCACATGGCTGGAGTCTGGTTATGTGTGCTTTTGGTTCTGTACCCTGCAAGGCCAGCTCAAGGATCCCCAGGCATTGCTAACATCAGCAAATTCATTCTTACTCTCTGTTGGTATCACTTCACTGGAAATACTCCAGCTTGGCACTGCTGTAAGGAAAATATGAATTAGGGCCATTCACCTCTTTATTGGTGCAGGGCTAGCAAGACTGGGCCTTCAATGTGTGTGTTACAACTGTGTCGTTGCATAACTTCAGACCAGGGGGTCTTTCTGACCAGTTACTTCTTACAGCATAGTTTTATGTTCTGCATATTTCATTTTATAAAGTGGGGAACATTTTGGCTTCCATCCAGCAAAATGCTTAAACAAGTACTGAGCTTATTCCTATGGGCATTTCCATGAAATTGCTCTTCTTGGCACTTTTGCATGTCAGGCAAACTAAGGGGAAATTTCTGAGCAGCTGGGCCATAGGCTGGGTCCTTCAGGGAACATGGGAGATCACAGCACTCTCAAGAAGCCCTGAGATCCCTGGAGGGTGAGACCTGCTGATGCAGTTGAAAAGATATTTGTACTGCTTCTGTATGAAAGATGCAGATAACCCAAATGCCCAGCTCACAGGGAATTCAGATTAGCTAAACAGTCTGATGTGGAAAGTACAGCTTGGACATCCAGGAGAAATCCCTCTGGAGATTTCTGCTTTTGTTTCCAGTTCTGAATGAATACAAGAGGGAAAATTTGCCACTGGCACTATGGAGTTGTCTCAGTTGTCTTTCTGCCTGCAGTCTGTTAGTTCGGTCTTGTATAAAACAAAAGCTAACGAGTGCCCAGACCCTTTCAGAATATCTAAGAGGTATCTCTTGGTGTCTGTTCTCAAAACCTGAAACTTCAATTTTGAGTTGAATCTGAAAACTGTTCTTAGACAGTTCCTTTCAAAAATGACCTATGATGATGTTGGTATTTTCAAATGAAATGTAGCTGTTGTTGGCACTGAACTCCTAACAGCCCAGGTATGAATTGAAAAACTTAGATTCAAGTTCTGCATCTGTCCCACCCCCATATGTATCATGGCATGGACTACACAAATCAACATCAAAGGAGACAGATGGTACCAGGGATGTTTATAATAGATGCCTCAAGGTTGCCAGGGATAACCCATCCCCTTCATGGGTTAACTGAGAGCAGCCAACACCCAAGAAAAATAAGGCACCTGAAGTGGGTGGTGGGTGTGGGCTAAGGAGCATTGCACACTAGACTCACTCTGATTTTTCTCCTTTGGCAGTGCAAGGCTCAAGAGCAACAGCAAGCAAGTGTGCATTGATCCCAAGTTAAAGTGGATCCAGGAATATCTGGAGAAAGCTTTAAACAAGTAAGGCAAGAGACAAATGGACTATACAGCTAACATCCTGAGTTATTAAAGGGTAGAACATTAAGGGCTGGCTTTTACCATGTGGACAAAGTACTCATGGAATTAGATACTGTTTTGAAGATGGGTTTGGAGTTGACCCAGTCTGTATTAAAACAACAGCTTCTAGTATGTCCTAAATGTTAAACTAAGAGTTTTGCCAGGGTTTGAGGCAAAATCTGTCCTAATCTATCTGTTCCAGGGTACCAAACTCATCCTCTTTTTAAAAAAAGCCACTCTCCCAAGGAAAATGCTTCCTTTATGCCCCCACTTCCCCAAGCCAAACTACAATTACTTCAGAATCTATATTGTTCCAGTTTATTTGGAGCCCCTTCTCCATGTTATTACACTGGGGGTCTGTTTGCACAGGCAGCTGATGCCTAGGGAGCTAAATTGTTCCTCTGCTGGCCAGTGTGGAGTGCTATTAAAATCGGCCAAGGCGAGAGGCATGGCCATGAATAAGGCTCTCTCACAACGCCGGGGGAAAATCAGCCATACTTGGGCAAATTCAGACTTTTAAAATCTACTTTTATTCCCCTTGAAAGTGGGTGATCCACTTTCACTTTTCCACTTTTCCTTTGTGGTGGGCCCAGGCTATCTCAGTTCAGTTTTGCAGTGAGCACAAGCAGCACAGGTAACATTTCTGTGCTGAGTTGCAAAGGAGGGCTCCAGCCTTCCTGGGATGGAAGATGAGACAAGTGATGGTACAAAGCATTTTCTTGCTTGCCCGCAGCCTTGCGGTTAATCCAGCAGTGACATTTTGGTCTGCAAGTCTACCTGTGCACTCAGAATCCCTCCCACATCCCACATTCCCACCCCTCAGTAACTGCGCTGTAACTGTAACCATGCTGAACCTTGCCCCTCCTGCATCTTCAGGGTAAAGGCAGGGCTGGAATCCAGTCATTTGCAAAAGCAAGGCATTCTTGGAGAAATGTGGGGAAGTGAATGGCCCCAGGGCAGATGTGAGGCAGTACAGGTAGATGAATGCTCTCCACTCTTTTCTTTGAAAATGCATCTGCCAAACAAAGGGTAGAGTTAAGGAAAAAAAAAAAAAAGTCATCCATCCTTTGTGTTTTTACAATAAGCAAGGGGAAAATTACGACCAGAAGTAGAGAAATTCCTCCATGTGGCCCTTTTGGGATCACACTGGGGCCAAGAGTAAGGAGGAGGAAGGAAGCCAGCTAGCAAACTGACTGTGGTTCCACCCCTGACAGCTCTTCCCATCTCATCCAATGCTCAGTGCCTTCTCTGCTGCCAGCACTCAGGCCTCTTGCCCTTTGGGAAAAGTCTCTGCAGAGGTAACCCAGGTTAATGCTACCAGGATGGCTCTAGATTTAGGCACAACTGAACCTAAGAGCAGAAAGAATATGGCACATACTGACTACCCAAGGGGCTCGAGCTACTTTGTTTTCCAGTTTGGGAAAGTCCTCATGCTCCTGCCTATGTTTCTGTTTTCTGTCATCCCCAGTAAAGCCCTTGGTGCTGTTCATAAGATCTGGAATTTAGGAGGCACTTAAGAAATTTGTAGCGTTGGGCAAATGTGATTATGTGCTCAGATCCTGCCTGCCTGACCTAGGGGAACAACTCAGCTGGAACACATTCTGCCCTCACTTCCAGTAGTGAAGATCTGGAGCCAGCTCTACTGAAACCAGTGAGCCCCTGCCTAACCTCCAGCCAGATTCTGGGGATTGCTTACCTTATGCTAATTCAGCAGCAATTCTGCTGATTTGGTGGATTTCATCCTGGATTACATTGAGTAGCAGAAATAATGTGGTCCCACCTCTATGAAATAAGATGACAGAAAGCATGTAGCTCCATCACCTGATCCTGTAATCATGGCATTGTTTTCATTTTCCAATTACTAATGCTAGCATCAGTGACATTTTCATGCTCCATAGACAGTCAGGGGTCTGTCTGTAGCATTTTCACAAAGCATGTTTTTGATATATTTTAGTGCACAGCTTTGACTTCTTCAATGAAATGTACTTTGAAATATATTTATAGCGCATCAAACAATTCATATATTTGAATTGGAGCCATATGAATGTTGGTAGTTTAAAACACCGATATCCCTCTAAACTACTAACAGCTTGTAAAATAAATCTATATAGATCTATAAATGTTAATGTAGCTATCAATTTCAATCAGCCATATATTATATTTTTTCACTTGTACTGAAATTGTATGAAATGTGACATTACCCTATATGCACTAGCAATAAAATGGCTAATTGTTTCATGTTATGAAAACCCAATTGTACATGGGAATTTATTTTTCTGGAATAAAATCAATAAGTTTTGTAGAAAGGGCTCTTGTAATTGCTTAAGTAAAATCCAAACTGTCAAGACATCTTAATCTATACCAGTGCTTCCATATGAGACTATCTTCTGTTATAATCTGCAGCTAAGGGCAAGCAAAAGTTCACAGAGTATTGTAGTCCAATACAGTTAATAGTGGAACCAGAATTTTAAAACCAGGTTTTTAAAAGGGAATTATTTTACTCACTAATTCTGCTTAGCCTTTATTATTGCTTTATAATCATCACATCTCCACGTAATAAAACACTTATGAGACATCAGTATAATATATTCAGGCTGTCAGGAATACAAATTCCTTAACTGGCTTTAAAAATCATTCTGCAGCTGCTGTGGCCAACATCATTCAACATTCATCCATTTTATAGTCAAGGGGCAAATCAGTCTTTTTTGAAAAAGCTAACAAATCCTTTATCACTTCCAGGCAATCCCAGTCATCCTTTACAGTACATTGACTGCCTTTCCCTTCTCCCTTCATACAAGGATATGCAAAATCAGGCCCTTGCAGACTTAACAGAGCCCAAAATAAACCGAGACCAGCTTGTCTGCTGTCACATTAATATAGTCCCACCTCGGTCCAAGTTGCTGGAGTCCATTAAGCTCAGTGTCTACTGCTGGCACAGACAAGAGAGCTGATAGATCTGGAGAAGATAACGAAGTCAATAGGTAAAAAGCTTTCCCATGAGCCCTCTAGGTGAATGGAAACTCCCAACTTCTAGGGGCTGGCTGTGATGGGAGCCAAGCCCTGCTGCTGCCTTCCTACATAGTGTTTGTAAACCTTGGTGTGGCAGCTTTTCCTAATTTCTGACCTCATTTGTCAAAAAGGGCTGAAGTACAAGATGCTAAAGCAATCAGCTCCTGGTAGTCCACCAAGTATGTGTTGGGTAAATGCCCCGTGTGGTAGTGGGACAGTGTAGGTGACTTTCTTCACAGCTTTGTTTTAAGGCACCAAATGTCCACAAATCCCATAGATTAGCCACTGATTCTTGTTGATGTCAGTGGGAATGGTGGGTGGGAAGCCAGAAATCTAGTCCCCCTCTGTTACCTCAGGGGGCACTGTGGGGGCGGTGAGGCTCTTGACTGACAAGTTCTCGCAGGCATTTTGGGAGGCCGCAGTGTTTTGGAGGAAAGAGTTGATCTGGCCTCAGAATTTGCAAATGTCCTGTCACCAGGGCACTTTCCTTTGCCTAGCATTCCGCTGGGGCAGGAGGTATGTGAAAGGGGATGTTATCACCATTTGCCATCATCCTGCCAGCAGGATGTAAAGGGACCGTAGGCTAAATGTGAATAAGGCCTTTGTATATGGATTGTTTATGGCAGTCTTTTTGTATTTTTCTTTTAATTTAGACCACGTCATCGCACTCATAAAAAAAAGCAACAGAAGAAACGGGGCCCACTCTGCCCTTCCCGTGCAACACCACTAAAGTCTCCAGGGAGAAAGAATGGTAGGAGGCATTAGTCTGTGAGCTGGGATACCTCAGGTTCAAGTCCCTGCTCTTCCACTGACCATCCCTATGTAACCTTGAGCAAATACATTAGCCTTTCCATTAGACATATACATCAGACTTCCATTTTTCCACATATTTGTTGAGGATGACTTCTGTATCTTCCCTGCAAAGGAATATCATATAGATAAAACTTTTAAAACAGGGGGAAAGTTCAGCCACAACAGAGATGGAAAAATAACGCTGAAAGAGAACCAAAGTCAAAAACAGGGTAAAGTTTTGGAAGCCCTATTACTTTTAGCTGACCATATTCTCCAATTCCAAACTGACAGTTAAGCTATAAATAGCAGCTGTGGATTTGTCACTGGTGTTTTTCAATGACAAATGCAGCATTGGGTGGTGACATGATTGGTGCATTGGTGCCAGGCAAGCTCCAGAGAATGGTGTTACATAGGCCAATACTCTGGATGCCCCAGCTGCTTTTTTCCCACCAGGGTGGTGTGTCCTGCCTTTCTGCACCAAAACAAGTAGGGTTACTGGTGTGGGATATTGAAAAAAAGTATCTTCAAAGAGGAAAATTTTCTTCATAGCTCAGTCATCTTTATGCCTGGAAGACTTTTCTGAGGCCATCTTCACTGAGAGAAGCCACAACTGTCTCTGACTGTGTTCACACAGTCTTAATTGTCCAGCACAGATTGAAAGGGATGTTTGTTCTGATCCTGTAGGCTAGACAAGACATGCTGGAACATCAGGGTTTCTGAATACCTGTTGTTTACCCTCTGACACTTGTAACTCAGCCTTAGTGACCTCCTCTAGACTGCAAAAGGCTGATCAGCCTGGAGCAGGAGTAGGCGTCACTTCAGACAAAACCTGGAGGCCACTAGCACAGACTGTCCTTGTTCTGAGTGAACCCTTCACACAGTACACTTACACTTTGCTGTGATGCTTAATCCACCACGACCCCTGGGTACCATGCTCACAGGGAGCATGGGAGACTCGATTTGTCTGCCTCCTGCCCTGAGCTCCCTGCCCCTGCACTCAGCGCCTCACCCCTCCGCTGTGCAGCACGGAGCCACTTGCCCTCCTTGTCACCACACCTTCACCACACCTTCCCCGGGCAGCTGGCTACCACGATGTGCTACCCAGCTGCTCCCAGCAGCGATGCCAAGGGGACAGCTGGGCAGCATACCTGGGGGCTCTACTCCCCAGCCACCCCATGCTGGGAGCCAAACACCAGCAAGAGCAGAGCACGGGCTGTTCTCTGTGTTCCTCCAGCATTGCAGAGACCTGGAACACTGCAGAGCTGCAGTCCATGATCTCCAGCAGGGGCAGGGAGAGGAGGCAGTCCCAGTGCCACTTGCTCCATTACTGGGGCTGCTCACAAATGATTAATCCCTCCTTTCCCTGCTGGTTTTTATTTTCCCAAGATTCTTTGCCCACGAATAATCCTCTGCTCTGGCTTTCAAGTCCAGAATAACCTACCTAGCCAGCCTTCCTCCTGTGTTAGCTCTGAACACCTTACTAACTGTGATGAGCACAACCTGCTCAAAATAACTCCCATTGCTGGGTTTGCCCTGCTGGGTCCCAGCAGGTCCTTGTGGAGAACTTCCCCCACAATGTTTGGCAAATAGTGGTTGGAGGGGGATGCAAAAGAAATGCCTTTGGGTTAGTCCAGATGCAGATTTTCTGTTTGACTAGGCCTGATATCAAAGCTTTTGCAACTGAAATAAACCTTAATAGTGTTTCACTCTGTTCTTCATCAACAGGAGGTTCAAGATGTAAGAGGCAAGCATTGTAAGCCGTCTACAGGATTTCTTACTGTAGGACCCAGAGAGCAGATAACCAGTATTAGGGAATGAATACATTTCACTGTTATCATGCAGCACAAAAGCAACGCTTCTTTCATTTCCAAAGGCTTTTTTTTTTGTTGTTGTTTGTTTGCAATTTTGGTGTGGGTTTGGTTTGTCTGGGCTTTTTTGGTGGTTTTGTTTTGTTTTTTTTTTTTCTTTTTTGCACAAATTGGCTTGCTTTCACAGTGCTATTTTTATATAGTAAGATGTAACTATTTGAGAAAAATATGTTTTTTATACAGATTGGTTTATTACCCAGCACTGAGGTCAGATATGGGCTTAAACTAACCCTATGTTATTATATAATATTTTATTTCCTTTGGTATGTAGAGGTTGTGCTTTATTTAACTTTCTTTTGGTTCATGCAAGTTTCCTGGAGCTTTAAACCTAGAAGGACATGAACTGTACAGTGCAATGATGTTGTGTAAGTAGTGGAGGAACTCCTTGCCTCCGAGGTCATTGAAGCCAAGAACATAGGAAAGCTAAAAAGCGTCAGACATTGATGAAAGTGGACAGTATGACCATGGGGGGCATTTCTAGGTATTTTGGGTGATGGATTAAACTTGGGGCTACAGGGTTAAAGCCCTTCTCTGAAGATCAGAGATCTTGGTGACAGCTATGAGCAGCTGGGTCAATGCACACCTGGCCTTGCAAGGTGCTAGTACTTGGTTTGTAGTAGTTGTCTGTGTTAGGAGCCACAACACTGATCTGATGTCACCTGGCGTTTCCTATGTTCCTGTCTTTTTGATGACAAACTTTAGCACAAAAGGGAATGGGTTATGAGAGGTCTAACCACACGATCATGTTTCATGTTGCTGGAGGAGTCAGACGTGCTACCATGCACCAGGTGTCTCTGCCCACCCACCCACCCACTCACCCACAGGAAGCAGCTTCAGTTCGCCAGGCTAACTTTGCCATGAAGTAGATGGAGATGCCTTCCCCTGACCCTTCACAACGATGCAGCCACTGAGCAGTCATGCTCTGGAGATACCTAGAAAAGGACATCTGGCTATATCTTTGGAGAAAAGAGACACCTGGGGCAAGAGAGGATCTGCCAAGTTTGTGGAAGGAGCGCTGCTTCTCAGATGTGGACACAAAGGCCAACACTGTTCACCAGCGGTCACGGCCCTGTTTGCTGCTGAACAAGACAGCCCCTGGAATTTCCTTCACAAAGCACACTTGGGGACAGACACTACTTCTTGCACCAGTCCCCTCTCTCAGCCAGAAGTTTCTTTCTCCTGATTCCCACCTGTATATGTGATATTTTTGCTCTCTGGTATGTGGAAAGACATCCACAGTACTGCGATTATCACATTCTGTTGTGCACTGGGATCTGGAGGGGAGCACATTTGTGCAGCACAATGCTTGTGTTTGTATGTATCTGTGTGTGTTGTAAACAAAAAAATGGTGTGAGATTGTGATTGGTTTTTTTTTTTGAGCAGGTTGCTTCAAAAGGAATCTTCCCTCTTCCCTGTAGCTTATGTCAGGAACATTGAGGGGAATGTTTCACTAAGAACTTTTTTTTTTGTGACAGGTATCTTTAGTGCCAAAGAGGCACTTTGGCTAGCCAGGGACTACTTTATTTCCATGATGATTCAGGTAAAAAATCTTGTATTTCCTCTCTGTGAAACAGTGCTGTAACAGAGTGCTTCACTAGGACCACATCACCTCATTTGTTTTGAAGAAGAAATCAACTGCTGTGCCTAAAATGTATGTATGCATAAGATTTTGACATTCCTTCTATTGCTATTATTACCAAACTGGTGCTTTAAGTATATTGTGTCTCTGTTTTGAAAGGTCTGGTACCACTGTAATTGAGAATTGGAGTGTTGATTTAATGCAAGTAGGATGAGATCAACTGTTGTAAAGGTAAATACAGAAAGAATGTTTATGAGAAAACTAGTTTCTTTTATCTTCCCTGGACTGTACTTTATATCCTTTATATCCCTGGAATTTATGGGTCCACCTCCTGTCCCCACACGTGCACCTGAATTGCTAGTGGTTTGTCAGAGGCAGAGATATAAGTGCCGAAACCAAGAATGACTTTGGGGAAAGTATGGAACAATCTTGTTTCTGACACAGGCATGAAGCTTGTCCTTCTCACCCAGGAAGGGACATTCTTCACAAAGGCTTCCCATCAAAGGACAGCTTGAGGTCTGATCAATTCCCATTGGAGTAAATGGAGAATTAAATAATCTTTTGATTCACAGTTTACCATGCTAGTGATGATAGGGATGATTTTCTTTCTCGGGGAAACACTGGGTTTCCAGGGGAAAGATGCCGTGTGTAGATGTGACTGTACAGCCTTGCCAGAGCTCTGTTTCAGTCCTTGTTAACAGGGAGTGCATCTGGGGTCAGCACCAGCAGGGAAAGGTCTCAGCACAAGCCAGCCCCACATTACAGCCTGGGCAAACAGAATGCTTTGACAGGAGTGTTGAGTTGGGCAGTGCTGGAGCACCCTGGCCAAACCCAGGGGTCCCAGCTCTGGACAGTATAGACAGGTAGTGGAGGTACTGCAGGAAAGGGGATCCCCTGTCAGCCTTCTCTTCTGGAGACAAACCAGTGAATGTTGCAGGGGAACACTGTGCTAAAGGAAGGGCATTTGCTCTGAGAGAAATACTTGAGTAGCACAGGAAGAAAAGGGACTTTCTGCAAGGCTAGGGAACATTCACAGCCAGGTGGTGGTTTCCTGTGTGCCACGAAGTCCATCTGCCTCTGGCATGTCTTGAGACTCACACTGTGACCTGGGCCCTGACGCCACTGTGCTGGTGAGAAGTCACGCTGCTGAGGAGTCACTGCTTGTGCAGTTGGGATCACTCATCTATCTCATCGTGAGGTCATGGGGCTGCTCCCAGGGGCCACCACCATGTCCCTCCCCTACTTGGGCAAGGTTGAGCACAGCATGAGTGCAGGGGTGCCACGGGCCTGGACAGGAGTAACTGAAGACTTAGGTGAGAACCTGAAAAAAAGCCCTCTCTTGCTTTAGACTAAAATGCAGCCTTGGTTGGGAAGCTTTACTGTTTGCCTGACTTTACTTGTGCAGTTCATCAGGAAAGAGGAGCCGTGCCCTTCACACTAGAGAAATCAGCTGCCCCAAGCTCCTAGTGCTATCCTGTGCATCACACACTGTTCCTCTTGTTCACACAATGGTCTTAGCAGGCTGAGGAGAAGCACAGACAGAAAACCACACAGGAAGAGCACTTGATTTTTCCTGTAACTGTTCACCAAAGACCGAATCAGGGAAAAGGAAGTGTGGGGAGATAGGGGTGATGTAGGGACACCATGTGAAGAGAAGGATGGAGAAGAGATAACACTGAACTGGTGCTGAAAAAGCAGCTACCATAAATGTCAAATTATCACGTGTGGTATTTTCAAAGTGCTGTCAAATCCTAAAGTTGGATTTCTTTTTTTTTAAGGAATAGATGGTATTTATATCTGTTCCAATTTTTATTTATACTAGTTTTATACTTGTGTGTATGAATATCTTATCTGGATTTTTGCCTGAGGAAGAATGAAGGGTGACTTTCTGATGTGTTTTAAACTAAGGTGTTTGAGCAAAGATGACTGTTCATTTTGCAATGAAGGATATATTCAAAGTTAAAGATACACATTCCATTGAAAATGCAGTTCCTATAGAGGTTTTTATCGCTATTTTCCCTTTGTCAGCTTCTAAAGGGTCCTTCTTTTCTGTGGCAACTTGTTTTGAGTGATATGACTTATACTAACCAGGGTTTTTTGAGAGCTCATCTAAAATCTGGACTTTTTTCCTTACCAACATCCCACCAAGACAAGCCTGATTTGCAAACATGAAGCTCTGGTGGCCACAGAGAAGAAAACATGTATCATGATGAGAGGGCTGCATGAACCTTCCATCTTCCACTCCTTAAGAACTTAGTGTTGTCAGAACGTCATAAATACTGTATTTTATATTTTTATTCAGTAAAAAGATATATCTTCCCAAATAATGTGAAAAGGCTTTAGCATTTGTGTTCCTGTAAGGCAGCTTTTATGAATGATTTATATTATGCCTTTGAAATTACTTCTTTAATAGAATATTTTGAAAACAAACAATTCTATATCATAATTTCTCCCATAAATGTGTATGCACTTAAAATTTTCTTAATAAAAATATCTATGTAAATCAAATTGTTACCTTCTTTTTTTATTTTTTTTTCTTTTTTTCTCACATACAAACAGCTAAAAGCTTTGCATCAGAAAAAAACATCCAGATGTAGTTTAAGTGTCCAGTTTCAAGGATGCCTCCAAGGAGATCCACAGGCTCCAACTCTGTAAAGGGAACCTGAGGCAAAGTACCCACAGGGTCTGGCAGGGAGCAGCAGCCTAGCAGACTGAAATATGCCATCTCCAAAAGGAAAGGTTTAACCATTTGCTGCTTCAACAGAAGCCCAAAATTTTTTTTTTTTAACTTCTTTTTTTCACCAGCTTGTCTCCTGCAGCAGGTTGACTTCTGTGGGACTGAAAACTGAGCTGTTTTTCCTCCTGCAACAGAGATGCCATCATCATCTGTGCTGGGGGAGGGATGAGGGTTTCTCTGAAGAACATGAGGGTTGTCAGGGGATGAGTCTGAGAAAAGAGGAAATGTGAATAGCAGCGGCCTCCTTGGTTCTGGTTTTCTCAGAGCACAAGAGGGTCAAACATCAGTTTGGAGGTGGGGAATGTGTTTAGAGGCCTGTACAAATGGGTTAACATCCTCAAGTTATAATCCTAGTTTGGATGATGCTGTAGAGAATTTACTGTGAGTTTTAAAACCAGGAGCTGAAAACTGGGTTTTGTCAGTGCCTTTCCCCATCTTCGAGTCTCCATGGCAGGGTGAAAGCGTTCCCTCAGGACACCCTGCTCCCTCCACAGCTGCCCTGCTCCAACATGCCAGTCCTCCTCTGTCCATCCACTGCAACAACCCAGGTGAATCCCAGCATCATGTATAGCT